GTTTGGTTCCCGAAAGGACCAAGGTATAACTCTTGTGTCTCCCAGGCAGCGGAATACCAGAGATTGGGGGGAAGGTGGCCGGTTCCACGGGAGTTGCCGAGATTCGCTGCCCCCAGGAAGGGAAGGTTCCCCGCAGGGCACGTTTGCAGGCTCCCCCGATGGATTTCTTCTCCTGGGCCCCCTTCTTCCTAGGAGTGACCCGCGGCAGGCCACCTGCAGCAGCAGCAGAAACAGAAGCAGCAGCAGCAGCAGCTCCCGGGTAGCTGGGCTTGCTGGCCCCCTTCCCCCACAGCACGCTCTGCATTTTCTTAGGGGAAGAGATGCCCTGCTCTCCCACGCCCTGCCTTTCCACAACCGAAGAGGGTCCTCGCGGAGCCGAGGACAGGGAAGAGCCTGTCACGTGAAGGAAATTCTCTCTGACTTGGAAATTCGAGTGTCTGGGAGTGTCCCCGGGATCCTCGGGTCTGCTGGGCTTGGCCTGGCCTCCTCCTCTGGGGTAAGTGCTCACCGTCATCAGCTGTGTCTCACTGTATTCATCTGAGGACTCGGAGTCGGACAGCAGCCAGGCCAGGCCTTCCGCGGAGAGCCGCTGGCGATCTGCAGCCACGTTCAACTTAGGCTTAGCGCCTCTCTTAGGGTTCCCCAAGGCCCGGCCCGCTTCAGGCACACCGAGGTGGAGAGGGCCGGCCGGAGCCGTCGGCGCCGCCCCACAGCTCTGGCCGGGCGCTCCTCGACCGCCGGGACCCGCCTCGAGGCGCAGTGTCCACACGGGGGACACTTTGAAGGCGGTGGAGCTCTCCGGGGCCGGGTATCTGCGGACGCCCAGCACGTCCTGGTCGGTCAGCTGCTGCAGGTTGGCCTCCTCGGCCTCCTCAGACTCCTCGATCAGGTCCAGGAGGTCCCTCTTGTGGTCAGCTGGGGAGCCAGGTCGGCCTTCGCGGCCCCACAGCACCGGCCCTCCCGCTTCCAGCATCTCCCGCTCCGACTGGAAGCCCTCGGGGTCCGGGAAGCCGCCTCCGCCCTCGCCGCTCCGCGGCTCCCCAGGCTCGGGGCCTGGGTCGGGTCCGCGCGGGACTGCGGGGCCGGCCGGGCGGACGCCGGCCCGCTCCCTGCCCTTTGGGCCGAAACGCGTTCCCCACACAGACACCTCATCCGGGGAGCTCATGTCGCGACCCGGGCGGCCCCGGAACCGGGGCGACGGTCGATGGCCCGAGTCGCGGTCGCGGTCACGGCGGGCGAGGTGGGCGGCGCTCAGCGGTCACGGCGGGCGAGGTGGGCGGCGCTCAGAGGGCAGCGTCAGCCACCTGAGGCGCCGCACGAGCTCGCCTCAAAAGAAACGACGCGCCACTTTCAGCGCGCCTCCCACGCCCGTGCCGCGGCCTCCTCATTGGTCCGGCCCCCGCCAACCAGCGGGCGCCTTGTTCGCCTGCCCCCTCGAGGCCTAACCAATGGGGTCGAGGGCCTCTGGTTTGCTCGCAAGCCCTTGGGCGGTCCGGGCAGTTGGCTGGTGAGGGGGATGGTGGGAGTGCCTGCCTCTGTCAAGCCTCTGGGCCCGCCTCCTCCTGTCCCGCCTCCCCTTTCCGGTTAGAGTCACAGCTCTGAGCCTCCGTTTCCCATCTATACAGTGGGTCGAGGGCGTCGGGGA